GATGTAACAAAGTAACCATTGGTAGCCTAAAATGTTGAAACAAATGCAGAGGTGTTTTACTCACAGCATCTAATTAATGAGTATAATGGTGGATTTGAACATTATTATTCCATTAAAGCGATTATTACACAAAATGACATATTTGTAATTGCAATGATTTTAACTGCATAATGAAGGGGCTAATGGCACTTTTTAGTCCAGCTAGTTAAACTTTACATTATTAACCTGTGGGGAGAAAGATTCATTCGCATTCTAATGTAGTCACTTCATACATTTTTATTTTCCTCTATATAGAAGTAAAACTTTTACATAAGCACCACAGGTCAATTTGTAACAAAATAATAGAAGAAACAGTCTGTCATTAGTCTTTGCAGTTTCATTTGACTTTTTAAATTAATTGCACAGGGAGTGAATTAACTGACAACACCTGTAGGTACAGAGTGTACAATCAAGGCTAACAAAGTCAATTCTGGTTTGTCAAGTGTTATGTGCAGTTATAATTATAATAATACATCTTATTTGATGGCGCCTTTCATGGCACTCAAGGTCACCTTAAAACAAGAAGCAAAAGTACAAAGCATCATAAAAATAGGATAAAAATAAAAAAACTAAAATTTAAAACATCAACTGTCAAAATGGAAATCGGTTATTATTATTATTACAGTGACTATGGTAGTTTAAAAAGATGAGTTTTGAGAGCAGTTTTAAAGTTTTTAATAGAGTCCATCGTATGGATGTGTGGGGGGAGAGAGTTCCAGAGTTTGGGTGAAGCATAGGAGAAGGCCCTAGCACCCATTTTACTGAGGTTGATGGTTGGTAGTGTCAAAAGACTTGCTGCGGAAGACCTCAGGGAACAAGATGGAGTGTAGGTCTGAATGAGGTCAGTGAGATAGGTAGGAGACAGATTGTGGAAGGCTTTGAATGTTAGGAATAATATTTTAAAGTTAATTCTTTGTGATACAGGGAGCCAGTATAGTTGAATCAGCAGATGAGTGATATCTTCTGTGGACTTGGAGCATGTTATGATCCTTGCTGCAACATTTTGGATGAGTTGCAGTCGAATGAGTTTGTTAGGAATGCCTGCTAAAATTGCATTGCAGTAATCAATGTGTGATGTGACCAAGGCATTTACTAGGACTTCCATTGAGTGTTGAGTTAGAGCAGGGCGTAGTCTGGAGATGTTTTGTAAGTGGAAAAAGGCAGTCCGGGATACGTTATTGATATGGCTGGAGTAAGAGAGGGTACTGTCCAATATTACACCGAGGCTCTTAACCTGTGTGGACAGGTATGGCGGTTCCATTAATAGGGAGTGAGCTGGTGTTGGTTTTGACAGAATAGATTTTGAACCAAAGAGCAGTAGCTCAGTCTTACTATTGATGAGTTGTAGGTAATTCGTTGTCATCCATGTCTGGATGTCATGTAGACAGGCAGTGAGTGTACTGGAGAGGAGTGTGGAGGTGGTGTTTGTAGACAGATAGAGCTGTGTATCGTCAGCATAACAGTGAAAATGGATGTTGTAGCGCCAGAAGATGTTGCCAAGAGGGAGGAGGTAGACGATAAATAATAGTGGTCCTATAACTGAACCCTGCGGTACTCCGTAGTGGACTCTGGAGGTTTCTGATCTGTAGTTTTGGATTTTTACATATTGTGACCTTCCTGAGAGGTAGGAAGCAAATCATTCAAAGACAGTGCCCCCAATTCCTATATTTGCCAGGCGGTCCATGAGGATGGGATGTGATACCGTGTCAAAAGCTGCTGTTAGGTCCAGGAGGATGAGAATGGAAAGAATACCGGAATCTGCTGCACGGAGGAGATCGTTGGTGATCTTAGTCGGGGCAGTTTCTGTGCTGTGTTTGGGTCTGAAGCCAGATTGGAATTTTTCCAGGAGATTGTGGGTAGGTCTGTAGTTGAGATGCAGCAACCCTTTCCAGAATTTTCGATATGAATGGTAAGGTGGAAATTGGCCTGTAGTTGTTGTGATCATTGCAGTCTAAACCAGATTTTTTCAGTGTTGGTCTGATTATGGCAGCTTTCAGAGAGGGTGGAACCGTACCAGTGGAAAGTGAGGAGTTGAAGATGGATGTTACTAGGGAAATTATAGAAGGCAAGCACGCTTTTACTAGGGTTGTGGGAATTGGATCCAGATGACATGTGGAGTTATTGGACTTGGTAATAGTTTCAGAAATGTGACTTTCAGTTTGAAGGCTGCAGAGCACTGTTCATTTGAAAGGTTGTTGTTCATAGTAGTTGCCGGTGGTTTGAGTAGTTTTTTTACTGTGGAGAAGAGGGTTTTGGCATTCCCTTCACCTGCCGTGATGATGTTTGCGTAGTATGAGTTTTTGGATGTTGAGAGCATGTTTGTATAGGAGTATATGATCATTGTACATCTGTTTATGTACAGCAAGTCCAGGCTTTTTGTAAAGCCTCTCCATGCGGCGTCCTACGGCCTTAAGCTGATGCAATTCGGATGTGTACCAGGGAGAAGTATGGGTAAATGAGACAGTCCGTGTTTTTAGAGGGGCTAAAATGCCCAGTGCAGAACATAAGCTGTCATTGTAGTAGTCCATTAGATCCAGAGTTGAGGTGGTGGGCGGTGGAGCTGGGTTTGATGTAATTAAACTGATAAGGCTTTCTGGGTGCACATGTCTGATGTTTCTATATGATATGACACGATGGGCCTTTGCCTTGCTGAGCAGTAGCTTGATGTTGAACAGTATAGCTTTATGGTCAGAGATGGGTAGCTCGGCAGATGTGATGTTATAGGGTAAGATGCCAGAACAACAGACTAGTTTACATATTGTTAGCTCAAAGCACTCTAACATTGTTTTAAAATCTTTTGTGAACATGTTATCGGGGTTATCAAAATGGACATTAAATTCATCTCTAATTAAAATTATGTTGGGAGACATAGTGCTAAGTGTGCTTAAGACTGTTGAGAGCTCAGTGATGAACATGATGGATGATTTTGGTAGTCTGTATATGACAGCAATAATAGTAGGTGCCAGTCCACAAAGCTTAACAGCCAGCAGTTCAAAGGAACACTGATCAGGTACACAGAGTTGTGTTAGTTTTATACACTCATGATAGATCAGAGCAAGGCCGCCTCCCCTACCCCCATAGCGTGGTTTGGATATGTAGGTGAAGCCAGGTGGAGCTGCTTAGGTTAGATGAAGAAAATTATTTTGTGGCTACCATGTTTCTGTGAGTTATGAGACTACTGGGATGAATCAGACAACAACAGACTCTCTGGGGGCATGGCACTTACCATTCATGTACATCCGATGGTTATTCTTTGTGAATTTGGTAAAAACTTCAGCTTTTCATTTGTCAGCATTCCCACATTCACCCCACTCTGCTCATTTCAGCCCTCCCTCTTCACCCTCCTATCTCTTGACAGGATGCAAACAAAATTTGTTCTCATGTTTGAATGACTGAAGGTAGGAATAAATGAAATGCTATAACACTAGATTGGTGAGACTTTTTACACTGAGGAACTGGACTCTAACCAATTCTCACTGTTTCTATTTTTACATTTTTCTCTCTGTTATGTTTTGAAGTTTGGCTGACTGGCAGGTCTGAGCATTCACACTAATAAAGGTTATAGGGAGTTTAAAAACTGCCAAGTTTATTTCTAAAGTAGACGTAGACGTCTGTCAAAATGACTGGCTTCTACACACTCACCAAAACACACACACAGATTTGTTTCTGTTATTCCACCAGTGTGACAGTGGCTTATTCTTTACCCTAAAGCAGAAGTTCACACAGGTGGTCAAGACGTGTCACGAGATCACAAGCTGCTCACTGTAGCACCAAAGCTGATTCAGTGATATCATGTTATATGCTGCAGATGGTATTGAAACCCAAAGGTGAAGCTATATAAAGTAGCAAGGAATGTAATAAAAATGTTCTGTTTTTAAAACAATTTTAGGGACTTCTAGCAACTACTTTTGCGTTACTGGAAGTGTCCGCGTCAGAATTCATAAACAAATATTTCAGTAAAGCTGTTAAAACATATAAATGTTGATTTCAACTCCTGTGTCCAGCAAGCATGGGATAAAAGGTCTCCCAGTTTATCTTTGGAAAACAATGTGGATGCACATGTTGTAAATCTGCAATGGGTATTAAAGGCTGAAGTTTTGGAATACAAAATTGTTTGTTTGAGCTTTTGCTCTCAGACTGGCTTCACTTTACTGGGAAGCTGACAGTTGTCAACTAGGAAATGCACCCGTGCTTGCAACAAAATCTCCCTTGATGCACGACTTAAGCTGTCTCTAATGCAAATATTCCCTTGAAAAACTCTGACTGAACATAGCCAAGATGTGCAAATGAGAAGAGTTCACATCCATTAACGATTCTGACTACTTCCAACATAAACTGGACCGAGACAATGGCCATCATCATCATGCTGTTGTGTAAAAGGGCATATAATCTACTGTAGAAATTATTCAACACTTGTCATATCTGATTCAATAAACTTCCTCACAACACTAAAATAAGTTCAAATTACATTGTAGATTGAAGGCAGACTTGAGAGAACCAAATACAAACAGCTTCATTTTTGTATGTGACAAACCCAGAATTGTGTTTGCAAACACTTCACCTATTACATGTGTAATTATTATATATATTAATTATACTACATAATGGAAAAGTACATTAGAGTAGAACCAGATTTCACCATGAACAATGTCACCTAATACGGTTAAAGTGCATATGTGTGTGAGAACCTACGCATCTTTGGTACTTCAAATGTGCCTTGTGGAGTTTTCTTTAAAAAAAATAAAGTTCTGTTTTTTAAAAGTTTTTCTTTAACCTGCATTGTTTACATCTCTGTTTGCTGGCTTGCAGTCTTCTTCCCTGCGTTTTGCTGGTGCAGTGCTACTTTTCTTGGAATATTGTGATGGCACCTGGCACATGTGCATCCAGTCACCTGCGCGCTTGTGCACAAGCGACAAACAAAACGAGGACCCACTCATCAAAGCATTGCTCCATAGCGCCACTAGTTGTGCCTTTAAAGAGGATATTTATTCAATCTCAGCAGTAAGATGAACTGCAGAGTTTTCCAGTTAAAGTGGTTTTACAGAGAGCAGAACAGAAACAAGGGACAAAGACTGAATCAAAAGCCGAACAAGAATAATCCTTAAAAACTACAAAGGCCCAGTAAGAAAAGTGCTATCTGTTTATCAGTATAAAATGCAGCCTAATTTTTTCTCCAAAGATCAAATGCTTGGGTGACACTGACTTCACCACAATTTACATTCTGGTCAGTTTTTTTTCTCCCAACAGGAAATGAAGCCCAAGTGATTAGTGTTTTTGTTACTGTATACTCATGTTGCTCAGTAGTGTTACCAGTAGTGATGCGCGGGTCGACGGACCCAGTTAAGCTTACAAGAAAATATCACAGGTTTGAACGGACGGGTCAAAAAGTGACATAGCAGTATTCCGAGCAAGTTATTAATAACTTACAGAAACACTGCGAGCAAGACAGAGTTCATATCTTTTAAGAAGGGTTACTTGTTTTGCTGCTATTCAACCATAAAAAACACTGTTTAATTTGTTTATTTAGCCTAGATCTTCCCACTACTGTGGGCAGGGGGAGAAAGAGAGTATTCTGGACAGCTCCCTAGCTGCTCCCTGAAGCAGCATCAGCACCTTGGAGAGCACCGTGGTGCTGGGTGCAAATATTACACCCTAACCCGCCTATACCTAGCTACTAGTGACCACAACTGCTGCAGTTCATCTTTAGCATAGCATTAATTAGCCTTTAGGCTTTGCCACACAGCATGGGGAAATTTTGAATACATAATTCAGCTTTCCCTGTACAAAGCAAAAACAGGCTACAGTACTGTAGCTATTTGAAGCACATTTTTCTTTGATTTCCGCCAAACATGGAACATAGATATGGAACTAATTACTACAGGCTTCAGTGGTGATATGAACATTTTCTTACTTTCAGATCACACTTGATCTTGACTGACTGACTGACTGACTTTATACAATAGCTTGATGAATCATTGCCAACATGACTTTAAAAAATGTTTGCTTGTGGAGAGCTCCTCTTGCTGTCTTGGTCAGAATGAAACAGAATCAATGGTTACAAAGTCAAATTAGGGTTAAGATTTGAGCATGCAATACAAGAAATCAATATCTTTTTAAGTTGGGACAAACATTCAGTAAGTTTTGTTTTATCTAGATTCTATCTATGATTAATTTATTCAAAGTACAACTCCTGACATGTTACAAACCCTAAATCTGAGACTCACTTTGGTATGGTTTGGTTAACAGGCTTGAATTACTACCTTTAAATGCATAATTACAATGTTAACGTAATTTCACAGTCCAAAAATATATATTCATATATATACATTTAATAAAGCATACACACCACATAACAATGATATGGTGATATGAGCCAAAGCCGCAATGTTAATCCCAGATGTTTGTGTGCGTTGATCTGTACACTTCCATGGATTTTCAGTCTGGGACCCACTCAGAACCAACACCGGTGTTAAAGCAGGTGACACAGGGAGATATGGTTCTTCACAGGCTGATAGCAATCAGCCTGTGAAGTCAAAGCAAAGAGCTTAATCCGAAATATCACTTCTCCATTGTTGGTGGACTCAAAGCATTTTTCACAAGGGCTGCTGTGCACATCATATTACATTCAAAGCTGAATCCAGTTTACTTGCACATCATGGTAGACTAACCTTGGACTCACACAGGTGGCGTGTGCGCTGCGTTACGGATGCGTCACGGCTGCCGTACCTAATCGTTGTAATTGTAGTCAATGCTTGTGCTCACACCAGAAGCGCAAGAATAGGCAGGCACTCTATTTTTGCTGTAAGACGTGTCGAGCAGCACAGAGCAGATGAGCCGGACAGGAAGTCAGACACATAAACAGCAAAGATAATCCGGTGGATTTTCAAAATAAAATAACTTGTGCACACTCCTTATCGTATCTCAACAATAAACACAGTTAAAACAGACCAAAAAAGCCTTCTTAACCACGGTAGAAGCACAAAAATCGAGGAACACTTACCAAATCAACTAACTCTAAACAATTCAGCAAAATCAGGCAAGCAAAACGCTCTTATTGTGAAATGCTCCATGTGGGAAATTCAGCCCTGCAGGGAACTGGAGGAAAACGGTTCACAGAGAGCTGTGATCGGTAGCAGAAGCACACAAAATAACAAATAAACAACAAGTCAACAACGTGGAGAAGGCTAAATGCTCCGCTGCTGAAACGCTTCCAGTGTGAGTTGACACAGGGCCGAGGATGGGTCAAAACCCGTGGCGCAGCCGTAACACGGCGCACACACCGCCTGTATAAGCTGCTTAATCACTTGATTGAAAGTTAGCTTATGGATTAGTACACCTAATGTCTCTCATCTGCCTGATACCATATTATATATATTAATATAATTTGCACCATTTTTGTATCGTATTGACTAGACTTTGCAAGTCTCCCTGTGCCTGTAAATTTGAATAAAGTTAATTTAAAAACTAAGCTGAATTCTCGTCAGGTGGTTCTCCTTTGCAGGTCCTCTCTCCACCTCTGTGAAGCCCCATCTCTAATAGTTTTGCAGTTCAGGAATGTTCTTGTAGAGGTCCAGTGAATCAGGGTTGGAGAAAGCTCCTCTTTGCGCCACTTCCCGGCCAGCGATCACCTGTTTCACAGCCACCTCCACCTTCTTACCGCTGATGGTGTACTGCAGATGGATGAAGAAACAGGCTGTCATTTTAAGCCAGAACGGACTTTCACAGCTTTAACCATTGTGACAGGATAATCTGACGGGTTTATTCATATTTGATTGATGTTCATATTTCTCTTACAGGAATGTCTCTGGTCTCCAGCAGCAGAGCAGGGACATGTCGGGCAGACAGAGCTTTTCGAATGGCTCCTTTAATCTTCGCCACCAACTCCGGACAGAAAGGCTTACCAGGCGCCATCTTTAAGAACAAAATAACACGCTCTTCTCCATCAGTGTTGTACTGAGGAACGCAAAGACTGTCTGACACTTCCTCAAACGCCTCCACTGCAGAGAGGAGAGGAAAGGAGAGGGCAGAGGGAGGACAAGGAGACAGAACAAAAATGATGAGAGCAGATGAGAGGCAAAGAAAGAAGAGGAGGTGAAGAGAGTAAGGTAGAAAAAATGAGGTGAGAAGAGGAAAAGTATGTGGATAAGTTGAAAATGGGTGAGAAGAGAAAAAAAAATTTCACCACTTAAAACTTCAAAATTAAGCGCACAAACACTGTGTTTTTGTTGTCAATAATAAGAAGAAATGGTGATTTTGCTGCATTTGGTTGTCTGAACAAATAATGACAAGTGATGGGATGGCTTTTATTTTCTACAAACATAAAGAGGACCGTGACTTGATTTAAGCTCAAAAACGCTTTAGCCATATCCTTTCATCCTTTCTTACACCCACACCCTGCTCCACGTGTAATGTTCAAGACTCACCGATGTTGTAGATCTCTGAGCTGCCAAATCGAACTCCGTTGGGGTTCAATGTACCGTCACTGCAGAAGAAACACAAGTTCAAGATTCATAGTCATTGCAAAGCTTTCTTGCCACACGTCATTCAACACAATAGAGAGGGAAAGAAATCAACCAGCATACAACAATATTTCACTTTCAGTAAGCTTGTGATTCTTTCTTTATACATTATGTACTATTTGTACAACACAGGAACTATGTTGGTCTATTTATTTGTTTCCATACTTTCAGTTTATTTCCATTTACCCTGGAAGAACTGAAGACTCTTTCAGTGTTTTATGTCATAAAGCAATTTTATACAGTGCCATAAACCAGCTTAAGAGCCAATACAGGCTACCAAGCTTTCTGAACAATATAATGTAGTGCAGGGCCAAATCTCAGGGGGAAAAGTCCAAATTTAAATGACTTTCATCCTCTTCAACCAAGCAATTCATAGCATTAGCATCTCATATTTAATATCTGCAATCTGCATAAATTATATTTAAACATGTCCACTTGCAAAGTACTCTAAATAAAAGAATCAATTAAAGCTACAGTGATAAAACAAATTTAATTTTAACATTCAGAGGCTCTCCCCTCCAACAGTTAATGGCTGACCTTCGGCCCAGCATTACAATGCCTCCTGTCTTTGGGTTGATTTTACAGTAGTCTCCGTGGGCCCACACCCCTAAAAGAGAAGGAACAGTATTATATTGAATGTTTTTAAAAATGCTCACATTTTTGGTAATAGAAAAACCCACCGTAAAATCAAATGTAAGACAATAAAACAACAATACATGCGATGAAAAAGAGCAGGTGAGCTGGTGAGAAAAAAACTACCTAGACTTTTTTATAAATTTAGTACATTGAATATAATAACAACGATAACATAAAACATACATTAGTAGAAAGTTTAAGTTATACATATTGCCTAAGTGCTATTGTATGTTCTTTTCTCCTGGGTTCTTTGTATGTATACCCTATGTACGTTTGTATTTATATCCAATGTTTGTGTACTTACCAGGATATGTAGAAAAGTACGCTTTGTGGTATTTGCTCCCGTTCTCGTCATTCCAGAAGTGTGTTGGCTGGCAGGGGATTGGCTTCAAGCAGACAAGCTCCCCACTCTCTCCCCATACAGGCTTACCTGTCCACACACACACACACACACACACACACACACACACACACACACACACACACACACACACACACACACACACACACACACACACACACACACACACACACACACACACACACACACACACACACGGATTTCACAGAAACAAAAAATAAAGTTAGAGCCCTTGGATATAATTTGCCACAACACACACACCCATGAACACAAACAAACCCTTAGAAACACACACAGACACACATATAAATCATTCTCGGATCAAAAAGCAGTAATGTAATGTATCCCACACTCAGAGAACCTGATACACTTTAGTGTGTGGTTTCACACAGGCCTCTCCTCCTCCCTCAGGATGGTGTTATAGGCTTAGAGACCGACTAAAATAATCTCAAACTCTTCCTACAAAACTGCCTTTAAATTATCCCTCAATCCACTCTCCTTTGAGGTGGTGGAGACACGCCAGTACAGCCTGCAGCAGGGATCGGGAGCTGGGGAACAAGGGACTAAAATCAATGAGAAAAACATAGAGGGCTTTGAAGACTCCCAGCAAGATAAAAAAAATCCCTCTTTTTTGTTTGGAATGTTGATGTAAAAAACAGTGTTTCCCTTATGTTTTGACTTGTATTTACCCAGAAAAAGTTCACTAATTACTTATTGCAATTTCTCAGCAATGGCTAGCTTCAAATTCATGCCAACGCACACACACGTACATCCCCATATGGGAGCAACGAAGTATAACCACAGATTTGTTCTGTTGGCTACCATGCAGCTCCAGGAGCAGATGGAAAGTTTGCTCAAGGGCATCTCAGCACTTTTTAATGAGTAATTAATTTTCCTCATTAATTTCTTTTCAGTCCCTCCTAGGATTCAAACTTACAACCTCTACATGATCTCTAAACCCTGTTGTTAATATACTGTAGATTGCTCAATAAATCCATTGATAGAGTTTAGTCTACAGAGGGAGGGAAAGCAATGGTATTCAGTTTCAACGCAATTCAGCCACACACACTCTCACCTTCAAGGTTCCAGGCTTCCACGGCTATGCCGAGGTTTCTTGTTTGGATCTCGCCACGATACACTGGGACTGTTGGGTTCTGACCCATGAAACATGACACTATGTCAGTGCCACCTGGGCAGAGAGATGAGAGAAAGAGAGAAAGACAGATAGAGACGGAGATTTAGTCGGTTGATGGTCTGAAATGAAATACCTCGCTCCAACACCCTGTGAGGAGTTTTTATTCTGAAAAAATTTTTAAATTAAACTAAGTCATAGTTTAGTTTACATTCAACCTTCTCGCCAACGCTGTATTCAACCTTAAAGCTCTACCAATTCATTTTTTAAATATTTACAATAAATGCAATTATAACACACCTGTATCAACAAATTCTGCAGCTTCACGCAGCTTTTCTTTCTTTTCTAACAATTTTCGGAGGTTTAAAGAATGTAAATGTACTGGTGGTGGTGGGAATGGTTGACTGTAACTGCTCGTCAGTACTTTTTCCAGCAGAGGCTATTTTTAGACACGGCCCAGTGTAATAAAACAACTGTACTCTACTTGCACAGCACTAAGTTAACGAAGAGTTGAAAATGTAGAGGTTTAAGAAAGTTTAAGAAAGCTGAAGTTATCTCAGTCTAGGTCCAAAGAAATCAATCTCAAATGGCGAGCATACTTTTTATAACATGTATACTGACCTGTGGGATAAGGTACCAAAGCATCACAGTGACCACCAACCTGAGACATTACTAAACTTAGTATTGGTATCAATCTGGTATTTCGACAACACAAACTGGCAGTGTTAGCAACCCTGCTCCACCTCCGTTGACCTATATAGGAGTTCTACACTGTTGCAGCACATTCATAAAACTGTCTTGAACACACACACACACACATACTGACACACCATCCATTTGTCTCTTTCTACCATCCAATCATCTACTATTTCAGACACATTCTATTCATCTCCCTTACCATTGTTCTATCTCTACCTCCTTGTCTCGTTCCCTCTCTGTATCATAGACTCCATCCATCCATCTTGTTCGCTTCCTCTCAACTGCTCTCTGCCCTTCTTCCACTTCCTTCTCTCTTGCTTATCTTTCTGTTCTTTACATTCGTTCTCTGTCTCTCTGCCAGGTTCTTTATTGAGCTTTAATTGGCTCCCAGGAGGAAGTGGAAATTTTGTCTTCTGATTAAACACACACACTTATAGTGGGAAGACATGCAATTATTTTATTATTACATTCACTTTAATGGGTGAGTACACACACACACACACACACACACACACACACACACATATAAAGTATATTTTGAGCCAAAAGTCACTGCTGCTTTCTTGGGATGCCTTCCATCATAAGGCATTTAGTGTGTATTCTATGTGTATACACAAGAGGGTAACTTGTCACACTGATCTAATGTTTCTAACAGCACTGACTACTCTGAACAGTGAAGAAAAAGATTTTTTGAACTCCCCAGTTTGTGCATATATTTGTGTGCATGTGTGTGCGAGTCTGCTTTAATGTTTTGTGTAGGTGTGAGTGCTTTGAACATCCTCTGGCACAGTTTGGGGTCAGACAAAGCCACCAACTGAGACAAAAAGGCAACCAGCTCACCTACGCATGCATTCAAAAATGAATTATAAAAAGAATACACATGAGACTTGACACACATAAAACACAAATTCAACATACAGTGTAATAGAAAATAAAAAACAAGGATGAGGAATTTTCACCTTTTTCTTTCCTTACAGTGAAGAGAAGAGACAAGAGAAGACGAGAAGGAGCAAAAAAGGGAGTAGAGGAGTGACATATGGGCAGTCAGACGGAGGTATATTAGGATGGAGGAAATCCAGCAGTGAAAGTGTTAAAATCCCCAATAAGGGGCGACGGGCGGCTAAAATCCCTGCTGACAGGATAACACACACACACACACACACACACACACACACACACACACACACACACACACACACACACACCCTAAAATACACAAAAAGGGGAGTAAAAAATTACTCATACAGTGTGTAAAAATATTCACGCACATGTTTATAGACACATCCACTCAGAGACACACACACACACCCCCACATAGTCACACAGGGTGAAATCGGCGAAGGGGCCGTCACATATGTCGCCCTGACCACCAGTCAGTCACATATGCTGCGATAAATCCTAATAAAACACACACACACACACACACGCACAGAGCGGTGACCTCGGGGATGAAGGTTAGGTCGGTTGGCAGCCAACAGGGTTGGAGCCTGCTGTTGCCCTTGGCGATGAGGAGGAAACTGACTGGGGCAGGACCTGCTGTCCTAAAGAACACACATACGGATACATATACAAGCGCACATGCCCTCATATCCGTCATCACATCCACAGATCCAGTCCTTTAATTATAAAGACATGGAATGAGTGGTGAAGTGAGCAGACAAATTGTAAACGCTAGTAGACGTAACTTGATTTCTCCAGTGGTTGCCAGTATGAAAAACAGTCTGTGCAGAGACAAGTGAGGAGCATGGGTGATTTTATAACAACAAAAAATAGGAAAAACATTTAGATGTAAATTTATGAGACAATCAGCTAATACTGCCCCTCCCCCTTTTTCTCCGGCTCAGGCTATGGTCTCAGGCCAGATTTCTGACTCGTGGTGACATTTCAGTCAATGCTTGTGTGTCCAATTTTTCAACCTGCATGTCATTGTGTGCAAGTGTGTTTGTGTATGTATGCATCTCTGGCTATATGCTATAATCATCAAGGTTGTCATTCACAGTGTGTGCGTGGTGCTTAGATTCTGACAGTCTATGCATGTTCTAAGCTGCTACTCAGTGTGTGTGTGTGTGTGTGTGTGTGTACGTCCGTAAGATGTCAGTCACCCAGGCTGTGCTAAATGTTAAACGTTTCAGGACTCACAGAGAAAGACAGATAGTGTTCTATTGCCCTGTCAACATAACAATGGGCTGAAAGGGTCTGTGTTTTTGTGTGTGTGTGTGTGTGTGTGTGTGTGTGTGTGTGTGTGTGTGTGTGGTGGCGTTGTGGGTGGTGAGGAAAATGTACAGTTCTATACAAATTATTTTTCCCCGAAGTTCCTTTTGATGTGTCACTCCTTTTGTGTCGCAGATGCTCTGTTGCTATTTTTTTTTCATTTTTTGGGCGTAGCTGCCGGTGCAGAAGACACCAACAACATTTGGAAAAGCTGCTGCTATTTGTACCCTTAGACAGAACTATTACGAAAAAAAAGACAAAATTTGTCCCAGCATCAGTCAGTCACCTGAGATGGAGCCCAGCAGCACGTTGCTTTTGATGCAGCGGTAGACGTAGTCATAGCTCTGAGGTTTGAGAGGAGACCCGGTAGACAGGATGGTGTGGAGAGACTGGAGGTTGTGTGTTTCCGCTGGGTGAGAAAGAGATAAAAGAATCAATTACAAATTGCTTACATATACATACTGTGCAGTATTGTGCATTGCAGATAATGCTGTCTATCATTGTATTACATTTAGATACTTTTCAAGTACCGACCAAAATGTCTCTTAGCATCAAGCACTGAAGTATCAACAATTGGCATTCAATGTTTGGTCAGTTTTTGTCTTGTCTACTGTATTTGTGATCTAAATTACCATCATGACAGTTTCCTAATTTTAGCCTATATTTTATGTACAGTAGGCAGAAGTGTGGCTGCTTGTGTTTAGACAAGAGTAAAAACAAATTCACTGTGAAGTTTTGCATATTTTTTTCCAATAAAAAAAGGGTTTTGTAGTACAAAGGTAGTGTTTTGGGATTAGTATCATGGAGGCTACCATATCGAAAAACTTCAAATATAACCCAGTTACAGTCAGCACTAGCTTCTGACTAAATTAAAAATCCACACAAACGCACACAATTTCAACACAAGGGTGCTCCATGCACAGCTGTTGTTCCATGCACCCCTACATGCTGTGTTAATACAGTTTGCCACCCTGATGTGACACAGCTTACGAGCTTGTGTGTACTACAACACACACACACACACACACACACACTTAGCCTCTGTCCCCATGGTCCATGCATGCACACGCTCTTTAACACACACACACACACACACATGCCCAATCCACAAGCCAATAACACCCTGCAAACTAATGAGCTTCCAGCAACCGACCCTCACCTCATAAACACACACACACACACACACACACACACACACACACACACACACAGACATAGTGAGAACTCTTGCTACCCCCCACCATGCCTCCAGGTGTCCGGTCCAAATGTCAGCCCAGGGAAAAGGGCCCCTCCGCTGGGGCAGCCAGTGAAGAAGCTCCCTCTACCCTTCTCAGCCCACATGAGGCATGATTGCATGCACGCACGCACACACACACACACCTCCCTGTGCCATTCTCTTTTTCTCTAATAAGCATCCAAACACAATACACACACAGTGCCAAATGGATCAAGTGGCTGGCTGGCTGATAGGGGTGGGGCAGAGATAGAGACAGACAGGGATGCAGCAATTCGAAAATTTGTTTTTCGTGCTATCCTGTTTAGCCACAAAATTGTGAGTGTGTTTAGGTAATTTACAAGTTGCAGAGAGACAGACAGATACAAACACACATACACACAAAGCAGGCGCCATGAATAAAGATTTGTGGTGATTATAACAGTGCACTGGGAATTGAGACACAGCAAATGTTTATGCAATAAACATTGGTTATAAGTGCTAATTTAACATTAGGAGAGGAGAGGAGAGAGGAAATGGGAAAAAGAGAGAAAGTGGAGGTTAGAAAAGGTAAATAGGAAGCTATACTCATTGCATTAGTTATGAGTTGTAATTTACATGAAGATGTTGGGAACAGGAGAACTATTTGAGAGTTTAGATGAGGGGTTGAAGAGGAGGACATAAATAAGATGAGAAACAAAAGAGGAAAAGCTTTGATATACTGTATGTAAATCAAATGCCAGCTTATGTAACTAAATTAACTGGTACTCCTCATTTCCCCACCAAAGAACTGCACTTCCATTAGTGTGAACCAGGTATAGAAGTTGAAATGTCATCAAAATAAGCACCTCTTGATGGATTGGATTTACACCAAACTGAGGATTGGAGCGTAACAACCTGAAAATGTTTCTTGTACTTTCTTCTATTACAATATGTACAGTGTGAATTTACGAAAGAGCACAGCAAAGGTGCAATCATTTTAGCATGCACTTCTAAAGGGACTTTGTTTTTGTCACACAAATGGTGAGATAGAGAAAACGGCACGTATGAAGGTTAACAGGAAGGCTAATAAGCCTGGTACAGCTCTGATTATGTGTAGAGACCTGGTTCTCGCTCTCGAGAGCTGTGACACTAAAAGCAATTAGTTGGTCCTATCCATGACTCACATGATTTATCATAACAGCACTTTTATCGGAAACTGTTGATTCACGCAGTAAATGGCATAGAGGACATTTAGAGTCAAACAGCATCACTATTATAATCATTATCGTGTCCATCTGCTCTCATTGTTCCAGGTTCCATTCTCAGAGAGTAGTTGTGTGTGATTATGTGCGTGTGTGGGTGAATGAATTCCTCTCAGAGTTTCTGCTTGTTATTTGTGTGCGTCCATGTGTGTCTCCGAGTGTCTACGTGCACGCTCCTGTAGGCATGTACATGCGCCGGTGACCACAACTCACCGGGTTTCAGGTTCCTCTCCTGCAGCACAGACAGCCACTTGGCCCCGGTACCAAAGATAGTGATGCTGGAAAAGAGAACAATATTTTAAAACATCATAATATAAAGAATCAATGAAGCAGTCTTTTTCAACATTAGGAAATAAAGATATTTCAACATCCAATAAGTGGAAGAGTATTTGGGGGAATAAAACAGAATTTGCGTCAGTGTTGTCAACAATGACAACCATTGCAAAGGCCCTCCTACATACATGTACTCTATTCTGCATTGTGACAGCAGAAACTTTAAACAACAGAACCAAATTAGCAAACACTATGAATCATCCTCTGGGGTGGTACGAATATTGTAGCCATATTTCATGGCAATCTGGCTGCTTATTTTTGAGAAATCCTACTCAAGACCAAAGTGTTCGAGAGATAATTGGAAGGACAGACAGGCAGGCTAACAAACTGTGTGACATCATGATCCTTTACCATCGTTTACCCTGGGAATTCTAAGTTGTGTCCATCAAAAACAAGTAACAGAACTTTTCTCCAGCATACAATGCTTTAATCCCCAAATGTGTTTTACTCGTCTTCATCAGGACAATGATGAATATTATAGTATATTGGAGAAAGGCTGGATGGCTTGTTTAACGTCGATGGCCTTGTGTTTGAAACTCGCATTAACCGGCACCTTCAATTTTCCACAAGTAAACTGACTTCTGCAGAGTGGCTTGGGACGTGATGTCACATCAAGCTACATTTAGATGTGGTATGTACACATACAGTAGACTTCAATTAGATTTAAAGTAGCTGTGGCTCTAAGGTCTGGCCCCTGTGTTACTTTGCCAAGTAAGCCTACTCCACCTAGCTGGCTAGAAAATGTGTGGAATAATCTAAATGGTCAGTGGGTACAAAAGTTAAATTCAACTGGAGACACTTAGATACTAGATTTGGTAGAAAAGTCTAATTTTCACTAGATACTAATGTTATAATTTAACATCCAATATATTTATGTGTGAATTCTGCTGGTGGTTGACGAGGTACAGCCGAAAAATCATATGATAAGGGGAATTTAGTACCAATATGAGTGAAGACAATGAACATATATGGAAAGTGATTATAAACCAAATCAAATCCAGCTTTAATTTTGTCGTTTGCCTCCCTGACAAATACAAAAATATAGTTGTATAACATCCTATCAAATGTTCAAATCAAATGCAGATAACAAGTAATAACTACCCGAATTATCTGAATTATTCATATTTCTTTACATAACACTATTACTGAGAAGCCTGAGAAACAGCTACCACATCCAAGGACGGCGAAAAATAACTATACAGGACTCTTTCGAGGCCCTGTGATTGGTACAGGCACACAGATGTGTGTGTATGTGTGTAAATGTTAATTTCTGTTTTGATGAGCAGCTGGCACCTCTGAATGGGTGTGAATGGGTGATGTCGTATAAAAGCACTCTGAGTGGTCTGACGACTAGAACAGCGTTATACAAGTACAGACCATTTACCATTATGACCAATGACATTCCAAAATAGCTTTTCTTCTTAAGCATGTAAGTGGGAGTATAAGTGAGTACAAATCTCCTCTTATTAAACAAACATTAACGTCATGAACATTAGTTGAGTTGACAACACAAAAAGGTTGATCACATTTGGTCAAGGTTGGTAGGGGGAGGGAGCTGCAACAGCAACCAGCCTGTATAGACAGAGTAATAGTGGAAAGTCAGAAGTCAGAGTGTGGGAAAGGCCTAAAACACCTGTATAAATATGACTGGATGTTACTATTCAGCTGGTAGAGAAGCAGCTGATGAATGAGGTGCTGATGGTGAAGCATGAATGAAGGAGCTGACGCAAGCTCAACATTAGTGCTCATTCTGAACTGACAATGCTCCACTCGTTGCCCTGAATCTATGACAAGGCATAATTTCAATGTCTGTGTGCTGAATGCAAAAATATTTAAATAAGGGCAACAGTTACTGAACAGCCTTCGCCCTTAATCCCATCTGCTCCAATGTAGCTGCTCAGTAGCTTGGCTGCACAAGGAAGCTCCCAGGAGAGGAAAGTGTGTGACAGTGTAAATGTAAAGCAAGGTGATGCAAACAGTCCTTGTGTGCTAGTTCATCCCTTCTTGGATAGATAAGAACAATGCAGACAAAAAAAAACGATTGGTAACTGACTTTCAACTGAACACATTTAAAAAAAAACAGAAGTCAAAAACAATAATGGCCAGTCTAGCATGAGAGGATAAAATGTCTCCCGTGTCAGTGTTCCACAAGGAAATAGTTCAGAGGAGAACAAATTGACAGGATGTTTACACGCAACAACCCTGAAAGGAAATGATTTTGGAAGGTGGCTTTTTCTGTGTGAATGGAAGTCACCCTGACAGCTGACAACAGTTGGACAACATGTGGAAGGCAAGAAGTGACAAAACGTCACTTCTGTGTTCCCCCAGCAGTTTTAATTTTAAAACAAAGGGCCTTCAAAGCGTGAATGGGTGTGTTTGTGTCTCCGTCTGCGTCTTTCTGTCTTTTCAAGTTGTTTGCGCTGACATCAAATCGATGAAATTGCCCCTTATCACTATGGTAACCATATCTGTCAATCAAAAAAGATCAAAAAGAATCTGTCTCTGGGACACAAAACAACTGTCTGATGCATGATTGGTCGGTAACCAGGAATTGATTTGTGGTGATAGATGTGATCTGCACTCAGACGTTCGAATCGATTAGTGGTAATAGAGGTTGTTGATAGGGTAAGGGAAGGAGTGAGGGAGGGATTAGATGGGTTGAAAGAGCAAAGGTCTCAAGAATAATATCTCAGATGGAAGAAAGTGAATGATAACGTGCACAGGCCTAATGAATGTGCACACATACACACACACACTTCTTTGTCCTTGTTACCTCTGCATGCCACACCCCCACCCCATTCTGCCAGCTGAAGTGTCTTAGATAGAATATATCTCATATAGAAATCTTATGGAATATGTCATTTTATATAACGATCTCATCTGATTCACTGATAATCTAAATCTTGATTCAGTAAGAAACTGTTTATGGACAGTGTGATTTTTGGCTAATTTGTCTATTTTTAAGCTGATAAATATATTTGATATTTTCTATAACTGAAAAGGGGTACAAGTACATGTTTTTTTGCTTTAGCAGAAAAGAAAAAAATGTGAAAAAATTATGACATGCCAAAAAAGGCATGAATAACGAACTCCCGAACTTGTCGATTTGGTTGATCAGTCCATTACTTAAACTGTCAGTCTATTACATCAATCTCTCAATGCTGTACCTCCTACATGTAATTCCTTCACAACTTTGTCTTGATTTCTAACTCTGAATCTATTTTGAAATGGAAGAATCAATTTCTATATTCTTTACTGGTAAAACATTACAAAAATGAATTATGAAGAAGATAAAATAGCTACCTGATAACACGCCTAAACTCACAGAAACCCCATTTGTCATCCGCACATGCACAATCACTCTCCATTCTATCCATCATCTCTGACCCCCCATCTGCATCTGGATTTGTTCATTGCTGGCCTCCACGCAAAGGGTCACTCTGTTCTGATTGGAGGCAGGTGGCCAGGTGTGGCCGCTAATTTGGTGTTTAGGATGGAAGGTGGAGGAGAAGCTGTGAGTCTCTGTTTGTTAGCGCGTGCACCTGCATGTGTAAATGTACCCGTGTGTCTGTTTCAAGGGAGACGTGTTACTGGAAGCTACTAAGTCAATAAGAGACACTCGAAGCCAATGAGACACAAGAGCACCCCCGAGCTGTTATTACATTAATGGGTCTCAAAGTGTGTCATGATGTAGCATTTGAAGTACCACTTGCCAGTGCATGTTTTATAAACTACTCTTCCACTTGTACTCCACCCCAGGAAGAACTGTAATATAAAAATGGACCAATGCTCTCTCCTCAGGTGTCAGGTGCTACAAGGAACAATTTGAAGCCATGGTTTGATGGTGTAATTGTTAAATGATTTGCAAATATTAAAATGTGAAGCACCACAACATTTTTGAAAGTCAATACCATACCAATACCAAATGTATTAGGGTAGCTTGGTGATATTGCAACAAATAAAAGAAAAATTGTTCAGTATGATAGACAGCCTCCTTATAATGCCAACATCTCCTTTTGTGCTCCAATCTAACCTGGTTGCAGACAATCAGAAAGGCATAGAATATATTGGTCAAAATTAATGTAGCAAAGTATTCTGGGTTTTTTTGTTGATGTTTTGTTTGTTTTTTTACATTATATCAATATGTTGCATTTAGCTCTTTGACAAGTATGGGTGTTGTTTAGCTTGTGAAAAAAACAATCTTTGTAAAGGATTTGATAAAGACTCCAGTTAACAACATTTAGATGCAGTTTGAAGACTGGAGGATATTTTAAATTGTTATGCCTACGTGTCTAAAACTGTAACTAAGCTGGCAAGATGCAATCTGCTGAACTGTAATCTCCCCCAAAGAGGATAACTGAGAAATATGCTTGGCACTGGTAAAAGATTTCCATAGTTGGTACAAACGTATAGGAGGGATCTTATATCAGCTCAACATATAATGGACCAAAAGACGAAAGAGACAAGAAGATCCTCAAAGAAAGCAGAGGAGCCACCAAAGTCCTATGGAATACATGCAACCTGTCACAAGTATAAATGTTTTAACCTTGCTTACTTTACCCAGGAATGCTGCTACTTTTGTTATGACTATGGCCCTGGTACAAAGTCTCAATAAATCTCTCTTTCCTACATAACACAGGCTAGGAAAGTTGTCAGAGCATTTACAGGTTAGGGTGTATGCAATAAAACGGTCAAAAGTGAGACAACAAAGGTTTCAGTCTCGGTCGACAGTATATTTAGTGACACTGACATCTATGTTACTGATAAAACCATTAAGTATGAAACCAGATGGGTTTGATTCTTCTTGTTTGTGGAAATAAAACAATCAACCTCAGAATTGATGTCCGCATTGACGGCTTAAGCACTGGGTCCCTTCAGGTGTTCTGGTTCTCAGTAGATTCGAAGTATGCTGAGAAGCACAGAAAAGTACTGAACATCTAGAAATATTTTTCCGAAAAGACACTCTCCCAATGCTTAAGTCTCCCCTAACTTTTTCCTTTCTCAAGGCAGCAAATCTGCAATAGTCAATTTAAGCAAACGGAACATTTGCTCTGTAAAATTACCACTTATTTTCCATAATTCAGAATGCCAAAATCAAAAAAAAATCTGTAAATGTCAGTCGTTAAGTGTGATGTGATAGTGGAATTCAATAGCAACTAGTAGCAATAGCAATTTTTAACTAGTCCTTACCAAAATTTCAAGGCAACGGGGGAAGCATCAATGCAAGTTTAAGACTCTCCAAGGCTCTGACAGCTTTAGCCCCAATTAAAATGTCCAACCTCAATTCAGAAGATGAGGGTGTAAAATTTTACATGTCAGCCTCTCCCAGAGGGTTCCACATGGTGCTGGGATCTGGAAAATGTCTAAGGTGGCAACATCAGCGCTTAATTGGTTCAAAAATCTTCTCACAGCCCTCCATTGGATTCCTTTATCTGGGTAATTTTGCTAACAGTATTCTAACCTTGTTAACTCTATTTTTCCATTTACTGTTTAAATTCTTTTTGGGCAAACAAGCAGCACAAGAACATCTATCTCATCAAAAAACTACTACAAACCAAACAATACTGCTTAAGAAATTGGTACAATCTCTACTCTACCAGTAATTTTACCAGGGAACCTATCATCACTGGAAGATCCCAATTTATCTGATAATTCAAATGACTAGTAAAATTGTGAAAGGAGCTCATTAGCTTTGGGATCTAACAGATCCTGTTGTGAGTTTCTGCTGTATAAGTACTTTTTCTTGGCACTTTTTGCTCCATAGTTTCCACTACTCCTCATCTGTGTCAAATCTTTCTCCCCATTACTCCTTTCCTTGCTGAAGGCAATATACCATATCTGCTGAACTGAAGACGTGTCTGTGGTATCACTGCCTTAAAGGGTCTTACTTTTGCTGACCACAGTGCATTTTCTTTTCATAATTTCACCACAGGATGACTGAGTGTACCAAGTAATCAAAAAAGGATGGAATTCACAAAGTCAGTAGGTTAAGCTTATATTGAGTGTTTGAAACCAACTTTGTGGTTGCAATACAAAACAAAGAACACATTATATTACACTTGTCTTCTTTCTTAGCCTCCGCCTTGTCCATTTTTTTTTATATATCTTGACACTTTGTTGTATATTATCACTTTGTATACTATCACTTAGATACCGGTTATTGATTTGTGTGCGTTAGGGCTAGTAGCTGAACAATTTTGAAAAACTATTTAATTGCGATTATTAATTTATATGTTTTGCAATATTACAGGGAATGATACTTTTACATAATTAATCTAATTTTCATTGAAAAAATAAACGATTAAAATCATTGCATTGTTGTGTGATTTTTGCGGAGATCTGTACTAAACAAAGATGTTTCCGTGAATCTACAGTGTGTAGGCCAGGACATATCTGCAGTGCGACAATATTTAATTACAAATAGTATTTTGACACACATATCGCCTTATATCCTTTAACGAATATTACTCCTGCGATTTAAAAGTAAGCAAGTAAAATTACTTGAAATTACTTTTTCAAGTAAAATTTATTTACACAGCACTTTTCACAGATAAAATCACAAGGTGCTTCACAATAAAACAACAAAATACAGTTCTAGCTAAACACTAGAAACACATTGACATATGACAGACAACTTTAAAACCAAGCTTAATGTTTAGCAAAGTTTAAGGTGCGTAACAAAGTGGGGAGTGCATTCCACAATCTGGGTGCAGCTGCTTGGAAAGACCGGTCTCCTCTGGTCTTAAAGTGGGTATGGGGAACTACTAACAGCCTCTGAGCTAATGACCTTAGGTTACGGAGGGGGGGGGGGGGGGTGTTGCTATAACAAGTCGGAGATGTAAGAGGGAGTTTGACCATGTAACGCTCTAAAAGTAAGGACCAAGATTTTAAAATTAACTCTAAAATGAACTGGCAGCCAGTGAAAAAATGTGTTGTAGGCCATACTTCCACTTAAATAAAATTACAATTAAATAATGAATAGGTTGGGTGTATATTTTGTGTAAAATGTATAATCTAAAATGAAAAAAATTAATGACTGAGTGAATTAATTGACACTGGCTTAAATTAAAATAATTAATAAAAGGAAAACAAATCTATTTGACCTTTCTCAGACCTACACAGATGTAAACTATAAACATGAAACACGTGGAAAATATATATTCTCATCATCAACCCTATTAAATTTGAAACACTGAATTGCCTGCCTGCACACATACACTCACATACTGTTATCCTTGACCATTTCATCTTTTTTTCCTCGCTGTCTTCAAAAGACAATAGAAGATCAATACTGGGTTTAGCATCTGTTGTTTATGGCGGTGATAGTAGTGGTGGTGGTGGGAAAGGGTATCAAGACATTTATCAAGAGCATCTGCTGTAAATATCTTCTGCTTCTTTGGATGTGAACCTTGAAAGTGTGTGAAAATACTTCTTGAATGATTAAAAAGAAAGGGGCTATACACAGTACAGCAGGTGGGTGTGGATTTACACAGTATCCAATTCTGGTATCACAGACCAAACCCTCCTCCAAATCTTTTATTGATATTGACCAAACCCATTGCTATCCCTGTGATTATGTTACCTCAAAATCCATGTCTAATGCAAAATAGATGTTGCTTGGGAAATGGAATAATGTTTTTCAAAGATGGACTGTGATGTCCACATTGTGCCATCTTACAGTGTGAACAGTCTCTGGACTAGATCCTGAACTTTCAGCTTTCCCGGCTGTCTTGTAGTTTGACCTGAGTTTTTGGGTTCATCCGAATTGTCTACATCACCATCAATCTGAATAACGACAAGCTTAAGGGATGGCTGACCTTCCGGTCTGAAAGTAGCCCGTTCATCTGAGTACAATCAGTTACTTTCAAAATAACAGCAGGGGAGCTCATTTGTGGTTCTCAATAATGAAGTTTGGGCTGTCTGATTTCTTTTAAAGTTAAGTGAAACTTCTTCAAGGAGTATGATTTCTCCAAATCTCTTCTGCCTGATGGCTTGACATGACAAGTTTTGGCAAGTTTGCCAAGGCCTGTTATTATTTTCCATTTGTTTGTTTGTTTTCACCTACTGTACATACCAAATACTCCAGTCCAATCCAATAAGGCAATAATAGCCTTGTTAGGTGCGCTGTAAAGCACTTAAGTGCTATATAAATACAGTTGAGTTTATCTATGGCATTAAAAAATGGTGCAAAATTATTTCCATTACCCACCCTATACTCTATATACTATATTTTTCTTCTCTCCTCCCATTCAAATAAGGAGTAATAAATTACTAAGTAAATAAGAAATGTTTATTGTATGATTAGTTGCTGAGGGTCTCCATTCTCAATGCAAATCATAACCAGCAGGAATCTTTATTCATGGGTCTTCATGGGTCTGCTCTTGTGTGCGAGTTGTCAATTAGGTAAACACATTATCAATTCTCTGGTTAAAACTAAATCTTCAAGGAAAAGCCTTACCCTTTACTCGTGCTCTTTTTCTCACTTTCTCTCTGTACTTCCGGCTCCCTCTTTTTCCTTTCATTGTCTGTTTTGTCTCTGTACTCTCCATGTCTGTCTTTCTGCTCTTCATTCCCCAAAATATTATATTTAAACAGGAAAAATGCCCACTTACTCTAATAGCAGTCGTGTGTCAGTTGCACCATTTGTTATGAAAAAGCAACGTGGGCTGGGCTGCACTGCACTCAAATAAGGCTAGGTACTGGTAAACATCTTAAAGCATTTTTTAATATTAGGGCAAAAAGGTGTGTCTCTGAAGAAGCCCTAACACAAAAACATGATGATTCAGTAAGCTGTAGCTAATTCCACTCCTTTACATCATTGTCATTCCATGAATCATCTTGCAGCATTGTGGAAGATCCAGACCCTTATGATTAAGAGTGTATTAACAACACACTCTTCAATACACAGTCAATGTCACCCTTTTGTCAGCCTCTCCTGTTTGTGTGCGTGTGTGTGTGTGTGTGTGTGTGTGTGTGTGTGTGTGTGTAAATGGCCAACTCACCCCAGCTGGTCTGTCAGGTTCCACAGTACGTTGGGTGTGGGCATTAGTGGTGAACCGTCGTATAAAACCACAGAGGCTCCCACTGCCAGAGCAGACACCAGCCAGTTCCACATCATCCAGCCGGTCTAAAGGACACATGCACACGCAGAAACAGACACAAGCACAGCGGTCAGCTTATCTGGTATAAACACTCTTTTCTCATCAACATGGACAAATGGGTGGCAAAATGGAGAACTCCTGCAGACTGTTAGTAATGTATCTGTGGTTCACATGATTGTTTTTCTCTTTTTACTGCATGCTGAGCTACTCTTCACCTCCAACATATATGCATGAGGATGGTAATATTAGTGCTACAGAATTCCAATTAGTGGTGACACGATTATTCAGTTAATCAATTGGTCAACTGACAGAAAATGTATCAACAACTATGATAATCAATAAATCATTAAGGTAATTTATCAAGCATAAATGCCAAATATGCACTGGTTCCAGCTTCTGAAATATGAGGATGTGCTCCTTTTCTCTCATTTATATCATTGTAAATTTAATGGCACTTTACAGAATAAACTAGTTATCAATTAACTAACACCCCCTACATATTAATAATGAAAATAATCAGTATTACAAAAGTAATTATAAAATAATAATAATAATAATAATAATAAAACAACTCTAAATCAAACAGGTAGCTATTCAGTTACAGGTTAACTAAACCGATGTACCAAAAGTGCGAACTTTCTTTCATGACAGAAACCAAATGTTCAAAATGTGTAAAACACACACAAATACACACCGCACAAAAAGGTTTTAATGAACATAAAATAATGTTCCTTAATGTTTATCAATAAAAGGAGCAAAGATCTTCTAGGAGTAGCTAAAAAATGACGCTTTGACCTTCAGCACTCAATGCTGCTCTTTAGACAAGATCTGTGTGTGTGTGTGTGTGTGTGTGTGTGTGTGTGTGTACACTATATGTGTGTGTGTCTTTGTGACCAGGCTCATGATTAAAAAATAACACACAATACCTAACGTTCTACCCCCTACTGGTAACTGAGATGAAACATGAGAGCGGTGGAAGGTTCCCCAGATCCTAAAACTCTTGGTACCATGAGCATGTCATTTCTATTGTGAAAGGGTTGTGGACCTACCGTGGTGTAATAAATGATCACATCACTGCTGGTCATATTACCATGGAGAATGTGCTCTTTCAAGTGTTGGATGAGCGTGCCCTACAGAGACAGAGACAAAGAAAGAGAGACATAATGACTTGTTTTAAGGTATTTCGTTATTACGTTCATTCATGACATTGACATTTGTTGATCTCTGTCTGAATTGTTACCTTTGTTGATAAAAAAATGAAAACAGCCTGCAATTTAAATATTCTATCTTGAAATTATACTAATATACTTCAAAAATATGTAAAAACTCTATTATCAGCAAAATGCTTTTGACCAATACTACACACAGCACACACAAGCACTTATTTTGACAAAAAGGGCAATTTGTGTTAAGTGTGAATTCTCCCACAGTCACCAACCCATCACAGTTGGATAGCTTATTATCGCTGGTGGTTTGTATGAACTGTATGACTGTGTGTTCTACTTTTGAGCCTATGTGTACGTTCCTATTCACATTAACAGGTGCTTTGTGTGAGTGTGTGTGTGTGTGTGTGTGTGCGTGCGTGCACGTGTGTATATAATCTTTGGCAGGCCTCAGCTGCCATAACCGTCCTTTGGTGCGTGCCATCTTGCTACTGACAGAATGTTAACAGAGCCGTAACAAAGCAGAAAGCACAACAGTGCTGGGGCTAATTGGTAGAGCCAGAGAGGACTGCCAGCGTTGCAATCCGAAATGTTTTCACCAATGCATTACTGTCCAATTATCTACAGCGTGGGGACAAGGAGGGGGCACAAAAGAAAGACACAAAGAGGAAAACAATAGGTGAAAGAAAGAAATTGGAGCTAGAGGAGAGAAGAAGTAAAGGAAGGGAAAAAACATGGAGAGTCTGAAAAGGAAGACTAGCTGGGAGGGGGGGGGGCTTACACGTTAAGGATAGAAACGCTAATGTGAAAGAAGGGCAGGAGGGTAAAAGCAAAGCAAGGAACAGAGACAACAATATGTGTGTGTGTGTGTCAGAGAGGGAGAACAACTGTTTTTTTGAAAATGTGTGAACGCATTTGTTTGAGTGTGTTTACCCATTTTGAATGTTGAGTGTTTCAGCCTTCAAAGTGCAGTGGTGCTTTTGAAATCACACATTCATCTGACACTCTCCCTCACTAAGATGTGGTATGTTCAGAAGAAAGAAATGTCAATCCTGCACTCTCTTGAGAGCAAATAACCTTTCTAAGATCTGCTGATGGAGGTTTGCTGCCATCTTGTGGTGAAACATGTAATATGTAAACCCAAATGACAGCTGTTTCTTACAGTAAAATGGAAATGTGAATCTGGATATGTCACTAAAAATACACATTTTTAAAGGATCGCACAATAAAACATCTCACTGCTCTTAATGTGTCAGGTGTGTGTACCATACCTAGATCTCTTTGACAGTTGTAATAAAGAGTGAGCGCTTCCAGACTTTATAATTTAGATCACATATTCATGAACAAAAGAGCTACTAAATGGACCTTGTGTTGAAAAAAATGTTCAAGGTCAATAATTCACTTTAAACCTTAGTTCTGAATCCAAAATGAATGAAAGATCCATAGTGTTCTGAAAAAATGTATTTGACCATCGATAACGCCATAATAACTGGGCAAACTCTTATTTGCTGATCAAGATTACAGTAAAACCTCAATTATTTCTTAATTTAAAAAATGCCTGTCCCTTTTACTGGCCTGGTGTGGATACATGTTTTGACAAATAAACGCAGGTCTTTTAGAAGCCTGAATGTATAAAACCTCCTATTAAAGTCCACCAGGTCACCTACCCATACCAAAAGTATAATTCATTCAAATTGACCGGCATTATCAGTCTCTCTGTGCTTAACGTTGGTCTAGATTGGCTGTCTCTCAGAGCAAAATGAATGATTCGTAATTGATATGTTGTCTGATAGTCAATTTTTTTTTATACATGTAATGATCATGCTGTTTGAAATAAACAGTTTAATAGCAGCCAACTTCTCATTTTTGCTGAGCAAGTGTTTTGTGCAAAAGTAATTAAAGACCTGTCCCATTTAGACACCTGCCACACATACAGGCAGACTGAGTTCAGTGACTGAAGGAACTAAATGCCTGAGCTATTAGTATTATAACGAAGTTTTACGGTATGCGATAAGATTGAAGGCTCCAGAACAGCTAACAAATAGACCTTGTGGCGAGATTGTTTTCTCAACTTTAGAATTTTGGTTTTACTAAAAAATTTTAATTGCTTTCTACTGCTTTTTCTTTTCTTGTCGCCTTCTTCTATAAAACATTTCTCCAGCCTTTATGGGAGCATCACACTCTTTTCAAATTGTTCACATTCAGTATGTTTTCATATTAATGATGTGCACTGAATATCAAACTGTACATGTGGGCCAATCCAAGAGAGCTCTGCAAACAGATGCGGCTAGCACGTTTTAATGTGTGTGTGTGTGTGTGTGTGTGTGTGTGTGTGTGTGTGTGTGTGTGTGCGTGTGTGTGTGTGTGTGTGTGTGTGTGTGACAGACAGCTGTGGTCTATCTAACGCTTGTGGAGCAGTAACAAAAAAACAGAAACAGAAACAGCAACAAAAGTGTCTCTTTGTTTTGAATTGTAAATGTGTTCCTTATTCCAAATTGTTTACATAATGTAATAAATTATATGTTACATAGAATACAAATAAGAATTGGGGACATCCCATTGGTCAGTCAGACAGAACGATTTACTTTAATGATTAGAGAGGCTGCTGTCAGTCATTTTAAACGTTTCCATGTGGGAAGCAATTTCACAGCAAATATCGTTCAACTTTTAGCTTCTGAAATAATTTAGACGCTCAGATGGAGCTCAGGATTGATCAGGAGGACTGCTGCTTTACCCCAAACAGTTTCACTGTATGAACCTGGACTGTGAGTGAGACCTTTTGGATGTGTAGAAGAACACAGAACATGAATTAACATTAGAACCTGACTGATCCTGTCGAGAGATTTTAATAATAAATGAAGATACGCTGCTGTGCCTCCTGCATTAATGTGTACACCATCGGAATAATGCACTCCTAAAATAACAAAAAACAGAAACGCTGCGCTACTGACTATTGTTTTTGGTCAATAGCGAAATCGTTTTCTGCTGCCTCAAGATAGCAATGCACCAACAATATGCCTGACCACACCTAATTTTAAGACCAACACTCCCATGGGCGCACGGATGCATTTGCTATTAAACAACATTGATGCTGGGTGTGAAAATGACAACTGCTCGGTTAGAAAGTAGCAATGACACTTGCGCTGTGCTTTGCGCCAGGTGTAAGATGGGGCCCAGTGTGTTTCTTACCCCAGCTGAGTGTACCATGCATTTAGGAGCTCCTGTGGTGCCAGAAGAGTACATGATGAACATAGGATGACTGAATGGAAGCTGCTCAAACTCTAGCTGAGGGAACTGGTCACCCTCACCACGCCCAGACGCCAAGAAATCATCTAGAAATACACTGAGGAGAAAAAAAAGAAAATAAAGAAAATACTACAGACAATCTATGAGGAAGAGAGTAAGTATATCTGACCTGCCCTTCATTCAAAAATTATCTTTCAGTTTCTCAGTTATAACACCTCAGTATAATTGTATCTAAAGACACACACCTATTGGAGATCTTGGAGAGGTCAGTCTCATGTTTGGAGCGTGCGTAGGGAATCACCACTACTTTTTTCAGGTCAGGCAGACCTGCAGAGAGAGAGAGACGCTGATGCTTTGTATTTCTCTTCACACTTTAACCTTATGAGTTCGCAGAGGTGTTATTTCCATGAACATATAACAAATGTTGGTTCTGTACAGAACCCGCTGAAGATTTTTAGAATGAGGACCTCATTAAATGTTTAATAACTCTCTGGACATTGATACTACTACATCTATCTGGCAACTGTTTTGCATTAAATCTTCTGACGGTTTAATTTTGAACACGGGTGAAACCCAGTACGGCTACTTTATTATACTTTCCTGGCCCTTAAAGTCTCCATTGACATGTTTGCAGAAATACTTTCTAAGTTTTAATTGCTGTTAAAAGACCAAAACAAAAAAAGTCAGCACAGGTTGACTGTTTCGCTACATACTCCATACAGTCGTATGGTCAGTCATATTATATGAGTACCTTTGACAACACTGGTCAGCTTTTCCATGTGGTCATGCGTTTTGCCGTTGTAAACCACAGCAGCAACAGAGAAGATCAGCTTTGGCTGGATTTGAGAAAACCTGTCAAGGACACCCTGAGACAAAAAAAAGGTTAATTATAAACTAGGAAAATGAAAAGTAAGAATAATTAGAGCTGCAGAAAACTCTCAAGCCTGAAAAAACTCCACAGGAAATTAGATTTTTTTAAAATGTATTAACCCACAAGGCACACAAAAGTAAATCCAGAATGGTCATGTTTGATAGAAAGGAATTCTGAGATTCAATTAAAGTTTAGGGGAGAAGACTTGTAACCAAAAAGGTCCGCAGTGGAGTAAGTAGAATAAAATACATAATCTTTCATTACAACCTCCTTTAAGCATAAACTGGAAAAATAATAATTTCCTACTGTGGGGGAAAACGTGTTTTTATTGTAAGTGCAGTTTTCTGATCTGCCAGACGGGGCAGTAGCACACCAGAAACAAGAAGCAGAGAGCAAATGACAAAAAGACCATTGAGGAGAGAGTTGCTGTAGGATGAAGTTAATACCACTCACTCATACTCACACTCAATGTTTTGCCTGACAGGCAGCCATTTCCCTTTTACTCGGTATGTATATGTTTGTTTGCCTATGTGAGTCTGTTTTGCCAGAATCAGGAAATGAGCTGTTGCCAGATAAAATCTGCCACTCTGACGCTACACGTTTTTAGCAGTGGTAGGTGCTTTACAGTCCACAAAAAAAGACATATATGAAAAATTAAACTGTTGTCTAAACCATCAGATTAAATAGGTTTGGTTTAGTTTATTTGTACTCAGACAATACATTTGAGATTAAGGTTGCCAAAGCCCCCCCTGCACGGGAAGCTGTTGTGATATACCAATATGGAATAAAGAGCTACAAATCACACAAACTGTGTGTAAATAAAGAAATATAAGCCACGAACAGTATAGTACACTCCTTACATTGACTCCAAAGTCGACAGATGTGGAGCTCCAAATGGCTCCGATGCTGGCTGCTGCTAACATGGCCTCCACTGCATGGATACCATTGGGTAGATAGCCTAAAGGGGGAGAGAAAAGAGAAAGAGAGGAACATTAAGTTTAAGTAGTTTAGTTTCAGTTTAAGTAGCAAACTATACGATTCCTTTTGTCAGAAATGACTATAGATGTGTATAGAGTTTAAAAATCAAGTATTATGATAAAGATACAGATCTACACCTGTGTAAAATATACAAACATGAATAGCATAAATAATGTGCATATGTGCATCATCAGCTAAATCACATTAGTACATTTACACATAAATACTGTTACCGTATTTTATTATCAAAATGATCATAGGACAGAATTGATTGTATTTCCATTAATTAGTTATGCAAGGTTGTTGCCGAGACCACACATCATATGGGACAGGAACCTACACTACAGTGTATTCAGTATCTACAGAAATAAAGTATATTATAGTAAAAAAAACAATCACAAACATCTGGAATTATTCTGTTTTAGATTCTCCCTCATCTCTCGGTTATGTGATATCTAGCAGCAGTACAAGGAGAGCAGATTTGTTATGTAGTCTCCGTCTTATAACTGCAGAATACCACCCAGGTAGGTAGGTCACCTCGCTGCGAGAACAGCTGATGAAGACAAAGAGAGAGGGAGGAGAGAAGGAGAGACAGAAAGATATTGAGCAAAAACAATCTGGATATAATGAGAATGGAAAAAGGACAGAGGGAGGGAGTAGAAAAGAAGTGATTAATACAAACCAGGACAGTGAGAATATTTCATTCTTAACAAGCAGAGCTGAGATCATAACGGCTGTGTTGCTGTGATTTATTCCTGGATCAATACAGGAAGTGCCGCCCAAGGACACTACAAATCTTTTCACTGGAAAGACTCAAACAATCAGCGATAGAGAGACAGATAGAGAGAGGTACTGACAACTGCACCATGGAAGATAAAGAAAACTGAATAGGGATGCACAATATTGAAGCACTTACCATTATCTGATAACCATTCATCGGTCATGTTAATATCAGCCAGTGGCACGTGCCAATAAAGACAATTTGCATCTTACTGCAATACTATCATGTCTCTCCAAAGTGGATTTACTTACTGACGTCAATGCAGCCCTTCAGTCATGGCAAAAGTCAAACTAGACTAAATCTGTTACATTCACATTCGATTAATAAAAGTTTTATTAGAACATAAAACATAAAATAGTTCACTATGGCTAAAATATATGACATGAAATTAAAAAACAAAACAATGAATTGGCCAGGCTCAAAACAGGAGCTCTCACGCTACCTTTGGTAGGTCTGTTTTGTTGATAACGCCTATCTAATCTAAAATGATAAAATCAATAATTCAGCCGGTAGTTCCACCCAAGCCGTCTGACCGGTCAAAGGCAAAACGGCAAATGTACTGTCACTTCGTATGAATCATGGCTAATCAGGCTTTATAGGTTGCTATGCTAACTCCTGCTGTAACCAGGAAGCTGATCATGGCTGGAAGACATCTCAGAGTGACAGATCACCATCCTGCTACGCTGGCTCTACTGGCACTCTCGTAAATTATTATCTTACACTGGACCAGGACGAATAGCGTCATGGATCATAATCTTACAACAACACCTTGCTCGACTGCCTCTGTGGCTACTGTGAATCACTGTCTTGCTATGCTGTAATGACACTGCGTACACCTCAGAGCAACACACTGCTGTTTCTATTATTCATGCATCCTTCTGTAAAACGTTTAAGGTCTACGTGCATGTTGATAATGACTGAATGAAAGCGAACTTGCTCTTCAGGATGTTATTCACACCACTCTTCACATTAAAATGCACCAACAGAATGCTGCTGTTCTAACATTTGGCTTCTGTTTTCTTATTCTAGCAATTTATGAAACAGATCTCAAGGGCTCACAGGATGCAGAATAAATGACTTTGTTGGATTTATCCAATTTAAATTCAGGTTTTAGCCCTGTGAGCTGAGCAGTAACTGGATATTAAGAAACAAGAATGGGACCTGTGGACCACTAGTTTGAAATCAGCTGAGACAATTTGTGTGACATGAATCTTCCTGGACAACTTCTGTTAATGTGCCCTGGAGAGAGTATCTTAACACCTGTGAGAATCCTGAGAAAACTGTGATTATACCAGGCAGTTTAAATTATTAGGAAATGATTAAGGTTGTTGTACAAAGGCTTTTGTAAAGGTGCCCTGTGGAGTTTTCTTGTAAACAAACAAAGGAATGTTTTTATTCAGCGTTACCAAAGGCCTTCTAGGCAAGTCATGCCACTCGGCCGCCATCTTGGCAACGCCTCCGGGCAGCTATTTCGGACTAACAAGACCAGGCTCATATCTGAATGAATGGGGAGAGAGCCAGAACTGCATTTTCACTGGTCACCAAGACATAAAAACTACATGAATAGAACCAGCAGTAAAATCTGATAAAAAAAAGTCGCTGAAAAAGTTTGACGACTTTGTCCCAAAATAAGGTTTACAAAGCGTTTTTCCCGACCAGTTATACTTCTACTATGCATGCGTCACCTTTTCCGCGCATGCGCAGTAGAAGTAGAACAGAACCTTACGTGAGTGGAACCACAGGATTGGCTGAAATATGTTTCCCGCTTTGGCTGTTAAAAGCAGACGATTGGCTTTCTAGTGGGAGGGGCGGGATAACCGCCATCTTTGCCGTTACGGGCTTTCCCCATAGAGTTGTACTGAGGATGCGAATGAGTGGCTTGTCTCTTCTAAAATGTCTCTGGTGTTACTCACTAAAAAGCCTTGTGTTAATACTTGAGTGTCTTTTCTTCCTCTTGTGGGCGGCATTACTATGTTTTTCCACCATCACCTACACCTCGAAACAGGATGAACTGACGGGGTGTAAGTGAGCCACCCTCGTCCATTTGCGTCTTTGTGCGTGTACATGATAAAAACAAAGCAGGGATCCACTCGTAAAACCATTGCTGCACAGCGCTACTACAGGTCAAAGATTCCACAAGGTACCTTTAAGATGAATTTAAAGCCCAAATAAATTAAAACAGCTGAAACAGATTCTAGCACTTAAAGAGGTGGTATTATGCTTTTGGCTTTTCCCCTCTCCTTTATTGAGTTATATATCTTTTTTTGTGCATGTAATAGGTTTGCAAAGTGAAAAAGCCCAAAGTCCAGCCCAAAGGGAGTTCCCATCTCCCACAGAAAACTCTGCTCTGAACTGCCTGAAAACAGCTCGTTTGTAGTCCAGCCTTTTCCCTTTCATCCCTGTGACGACACAGCAAAATGCACGTCATAATGCTCCCCAAGCGGCTAGTCCGACACGCCCTCAAAAACACCGGTGTAAAAACACTGAGCTGATGTACAGCTGAAGCGAAGCCCTGTTTACCGGCTTGTCACGACCCGGCCTACTTTGCTTCTGATTGGCTAGTAGTCCTTAACTAGGAACTGCGCATGTGCAACTCCCAACAAAGATCATGTAGAGACAAGATGCATCACTCCATACTTAAAACGAAGCGTTCTACACACAGGGTGAAAAGAGGAGCTGGTGCAATGTGCAGTATGACAAAAACTATGGTGTTTTTTGAAAATGAAACCATGTAAACATGTTCTGGTACAACCAATTAATAAGACTGTGAACCTGAATATTAGAATAATATGACCTCTTTAAAGGGGAAATTCTGTGGATGAAATCAAGTAGTTGGTTTGGCAATATTGCAAGAAGTTCAAAGATGTTTGAAAACTAGACCTTTTCCAAATGCTACTGAATTTTGCAGTTATATTTGTCATTCCCAGCTTACTTCAAAGCATGTAAAAGCAATGTTGATTAATACTAAAGAGGAAAATAATGATCCAAATGAAAGTTACTTTTGTGTTTTGTTCTTACCACCACATTGTTTTCCTGGAATAACACAGATCCAAACTAAACTGGCCACATGTGTCACATATTCCATGAAGTGTGTGTGCATTTGTGTGTGTGAGTAGTATTTCCTTCCACACCCACTCAGAGCAATGAAGTGTGTGTTAGAGTAAAATGTGCCCTGCTAGTGTAATAGTTCTCTTTAGCTTCAGCTCATTTTGTTTAAATGTACAAGCTGCATCTTGTTTTGAACCTAGTTTTTTTGTTTTATGTTATTTGCTGTTGGCATTTGTATTTGACAACAGTAGAACGCTGTTTTTATTGACACAAAATTAAAAGAATATGCATTCCCCAGTGGATGAACAGTGGGCGTGAAGGCTGGATACAAGCTTCGTGACAGGGTGGAGGGTGATGTTGGGGATGATATGCGCAAGGAGAAGAGCAATGGAACTAAACGGTGCACAGGAAGGAGAATACATATGTGTATGTGTGCGAGAGCCGGGTTGGCTCATGTCCTGATATAAAGCTTGGTTGGCTTCATCAGCTAAGTGCCTATATATCTCCTGGATTACAGACACTGACAAGACATTTTAGTTACAAGCTGGGGACAAGGACATCTCTGTCTCTAACACACACACACACACACAAATGCGCACACATTCAAAGACACACCCAGATTCGTGTTTAGATATGTGATGAAAGTAATAGGAAGAAGGGAGAAAGGGGGAGAAAGGAGGCATGAAGTAGGTGGTCTCTCTCTCTCTTTCTTTTTTCTCCCTTTTTCTCCCTCCCTACAACCCTCCCATCTTTCTAATGAGATTCCCACCGAGCTGGAGTCATTTAGCTAATGGATTTCCCCACCGTAATATCCATCTTTCCTCTGAGCACACACACAAACTTTCAAACACACCCTGGTCATTCTTGGACAGAGTAGCTCAATATGAGCTCATGAACGGCAGCCATAAACCGTTAGTCACATTGCTGTTTCAAAATAAAAGCAAAGCAAACTGATCATATCAGAATACAGTCCTAGGGCTGGCTTCAACTACCCACAGTATGTCTGCCCTTCTAAACGCTTGTACAAATTCATTATCATGTCATACCAGTGAGCTCCCCAGGTACAACCACGGGTTCTCTAATATTAACAACAGCTTGATGAAGGGTGACAAAATGTTCCTTATACACTTGTGTTTATACATATTTACATCCTTTCATTCCTATATTTTTTCCAGCGATAGTATGGGTCAAAGCTCTTTTGGTTAAGGACAGGCAGAACAATCCAGATGACCTTTTCACCCCCATCACTTTTTCTCTAGCTCAGCATTTTAACAATCTTTTTTTGAAATCCATAAGCAAGCAGTGACCTCTGAACTACTGTTGTCATCTTTTTCCAGGCAAAAACATTTGTAACAAAAAGGCTTAGTAAAAATAATAATATGTACATACACGCACATCCACACACACATAAGATTAAGTGATTTTGTTGCTGCTGTTGTTATTGGTTTCATGTACTTTATTTTTTTTCCCTTTCTCATGCCTTGTTCCCTTTGTATCGTCATGTCAATGTTGTATATTTTGTCTCGCAATAAAAAATATATACCTATTTAACAAAAAAAAAAGCTTGTTTAATCCAAGTTGAGCAGAAACAGGCTGAATAAAAGAATAAAAGGCTCAGACATCGGAGATGCTACTATTTGATAACCCCTGTGTAACCGAAGCCCTTGATAGTGCCACAGCACAAACAGCTCAATGCACCTTGCTGCGTCATGGTTGGAAATGTGTCACAGAATGGGGAATGAAACAGAGACAGTGACAAATGACACATCCGCTGATGTTGTATCCTGTGGATGAATACCTGTATGTTGTGTTTGTTGAAAACACAACGTACAGGTATTCATCCAAAAAATATACTGATGAGAAACCTGGGTGGATAAATGCATAGACTGTGACTGTGACGTCACCCGTTTGTGGACTGCCGTTTTGAACCCTCAAGTTTGGCTGATAGGGCCCCGCCATTTTGAGTTTTTGCAAGCAGCGGCACCAGATGTGACCATATTTGGACGAGCTAACTGCCGTGTGTGGACCTAGTTAGCTTGCTTAGCTAGGTGCATCTGTAATTCACGTTAACTGTCATTTTAACAGGGCTGACAACTTTGTACTCCCCAGAGAAAGTGAACAGCCAACTCCTAATAAGCTTTTTCAACAGCACTGGTAAAATTTACACAGTGCCGTGGGTGAAAGTCACTTTAGCCTCATTTACAGGTCGACATGGTAACGACTTGTCAGTCATAGATAATCCCGCCCTGAAACATACTCTGCTTTATGGTCTATTTTCCTCTAAATGGGACCATAATTTACTAAATCAACATCATGTTGTATTGAAGAAGACATGAAACTAGCGATTGAGACCATAAACTCATTAGGAAAGTGTTTACTCCGGTAATAAATCAGCTGAGAAGTAGGGTCATTTTACCATTATTTCTAAAGGAACCAGACTTCTTTTTGCAGCAACCAGAAGAGTCGCCCCCTGCTGGCCATTCAACAGAATGCATACTTAAGGGACTTTCGCATTGGATTGGCGTCTCATACCGGAAGCTTCTCGCGTGGGGAAATGTATACGGCATGCCTTAAAGCTCCAGTTGCTGCAATGGCACTCCTCAGTGGCAGTTTATATTGTTTAGTTTGCAGGTACAAATATGTAGATGTACTGTACAGTGAGGCACTGCAGGAAAAAAATGCAAGCTCCACCATTCCTCCCTGTGCAAATATGAACTTGGAAAAAATAAATGGTGACTTTCAGAGAGAGCTGAGACTTGTGCCAAGACAGCCAACCCTGCTTACCAGCGAGAACAAGCACGCACACGAATATACGGTAAAAGAGCACAAACTCATCCTACTCCTTAAAATAAGAAAGAATGAAGAAGAGAGAGAACAAGAGGATGAAGAAGGTTGGAAGACAAAGGGATAAGAAGGAATAAGTCAGGAGAATAACTATTAATCCATCCACCAAATAATTTGATTGGTGATCAACCATCACATGGCTGATAGAAAAGTTATATAAAATGCTAAAGCCTTTTCTTCCATACTCTTTGTGTTTCTTCCCAAGTAAGATATAGAGAAATACATTTGAGACTCACCTACGACCCTGTCTCCAGTCTGGATGCCCATCTTCCTCATGGCTGCAGCGAACAACGCCACATCTTGCCTCAGCTCCCCAAACGTCACCTTCACTATCTCCTCATTTGCCTCCGCTGGCAGACAGAGACATAAAGAGAAAGTGAGACACATGCGCAGAAACAGAGATAATTACATACATTAAAAAACTTTTTTATCTGAAATTGAAAGACATCTGGCTATATTTTGATTGGTTTTGACATTCTAGGTTTAGTGTACCACTTTTTGACTATTGACATAAATTCCAATAAAACCCTGAAAAAAAAATCCACAAAAAAGAAAAGCAGGGAGACAGAGATGGAGACATAAATAGAGAAGGATAGTGTGGCAGGACAGAGCCACAGACAGGACCAGTCGTCTTGTCTCGCTAAGTAATAGTTTACTGACATTCACAGAGGCTCCACAGCATTGTGACCAATGGGGCTTCTCATAATTACATTACAGCTCCTGAGGAAGGTTGTGTGCATGTGTACGTGCACATGACTGTAAAAGCCCACTCTCCCTAGTATACACACAGATAGGGCAATAAAGAGGGACCTATCCATTAGTACGTGACAGTCCTGAGAGACAGATCAGGAAGCAGCGGTTAATGTAATGAAGTGACGTGTGCACCCTTGCTGTGTGTGCACGTGTGTTCTCGAATGCACCCTCAGCCCTGATCTTTCGTGTCTTCCCAACTTTCATTCTGCTTAGTTCATACGCAAATACATTGAGAAGATGAAATAAAGCAGACAGTAAACACAATTTGGGCAAACCACAGCTTGCTAAAATTCACCATGGGGAGCAACAAAAACAGTAAGTAAGGCAAAGAAACTGCTGTTTATTACATTGTTTTTAGCATCATATACTTTACATACTTACTTGCAGCATAGAGAGCTACCTTGTCCTGGTCTGCATGTTTGAGTAAGTTCTCAGCGTAGTTGAGCCGAGCTCCTTTAAACCACTCTGGAACATCTGAGATCCGTTTGGATACATCCACCACCTGGCACACACCCACAAAACACACACAGCAAGAACATACACACACAGGAGAGACACGCCATTGTCACTAACCGAGACCGTGCAATTTTCAAGCTTTTGATGCTCCTGCTGGTCCAGAAATAAGTTGCATCCTGAATACGTTTCTTTCTTTCTCAACAAATTTTAAACTAAACTACTTAACTAAAATGCTTGGTCTAGATTAAGTGGACAGCAAGCAATGGTGTACAGTAGATTAAAATAATATGGAATACTAAAAATAAAAATAGAGATATGACTGATTAGAGAGATAAAGTCTCTGTGTTCGGTTTTGACCTCAGAATTGTCATGGGGGACACAAATGGGACTACAAGATAGTAGCCTATGTTTTACACACTAATCAAGCATATCATAAGTCTACCACACAGCTGATTATCTTGCTGTACTTGAAATAAAAACCGCCCTCTGTGCATCAATGTTACAAAATGTTTGAATGACGAGTGAATTGAATCCCTGGCCTCCATCTAATGTCTGCTGGGACTTCAAACCCAATAAAGGATTGAGTGGGTAAGAAAAGGGATGCTTAAAAAAACCCATAATGTGACGTGGAATGTGACATCCACGTGTGCATAAGGGGTATGTCACTTCCACGGCATGGTGCTCATACAACATTCATTACCACACACACACACCCACCTATGTGGCCATATCCTGGAACTAAGCAACATTAAGAAGACAGACAGTGAATGAAAGAACGCCATAAAAAGCCTCTGAATTTAAAAAAAGGTTGGATACAATCACACACTATCACCAAAAAGAACTGTGTAATGTGTAGTTTTAGATATGTATTTTCTAGGTTAATGCTGTTTATGAATTAACAACGTACTGTATCTGCCATGTAGCATGAATCATATCAGATTACCGTCTTTCCACTGATGTGGAATAATAACACTGACTGTAAAATAATGTCATGGGAAGACCAACTCACAGTGCAACATTTAAGTTATTTAGTCAAATTGAGGAAACAATAGGCCTTTTTCCTTCTTTTTTGTTATTTTTCATCTTAAATCTCTGCATGTGTGTGGATGAGAAAATAGAGGCGGCCTGATTTAAAATTAAAAACCAAAACATTGTCAGGTCACAGGACCAGGACGACGAGACATAAGGGGATACACAACCCATCAAACTCTTTCGTGTGACCAAAAAGACACCTCGTTCCAGATAGCTGGAGGATGGATACAGTGCGGCACTAATGATATCTGTGCTGCAAGTCATGTAAATGAAGTGTGGAAAAAACAGTGAAATATTTAATACAATGTTCCATCATCAAATATCAAATATTTGGACGTAGCAGACCAGTAAAGTTACCAGTTAATTACCACCATCGCTTGTGTGTGTGTTTATGAATAGTGCAAAACAAGTGATTAACAAGATGGCCTACAGTACATGAGACATGAACAACAAGAGAGAGAGAAACAACGACAACAACAACAACAAGAAAGAGAGGAAAAAGAAAAAGACGCGTGACTGGTAGGGCTGCAAATGATGATTATTTACATTGTCAGTTATATTCTCGATTAATCGATTAGTTGTTTGGTCTATCAAATGTCAGAAAAATGTGAAATATGTTGGTCAAATGTTTCCCAGAGCCGAAGATGACCTCAAATGATCCTCAAATGTCTTGTTTTGTCCGCAACCCAAAGGCATTCAGCTTACTGTCGTACATGAGTAAAGAAACCAGAAATGATTCACATTTAAGAAGCTGAAATAAGAGATTTTATACTTTTTTTCTTAAAATTACTCAAACCAATTAATCGATTATCAAAATAGTTGGTGACAGAATAGTTAGCCCCGGGGAAGAAGAGGCTTCGGGGTAGAGCCAGGACGGATGGGGGCTGCTGGGTAAGGGCAGGTTATTATTTGTTTATCCACTCATTTATTGATATTTTGTCTTTGCGTTCTCCTGCTTTAGGCTGCCCCCAGAGCTGTAGGAGGTTGCAGGCATGTTGCAGGTCAGGTCCCCTCTAGAACCAGTTTGACTGGGTCAGAGGAGCAACTTTTGTACAAGGCAGAGGACTTGGAGGGGATCAGGCCCTCTTTCACTATGCTGTCCCATATCTGCCCACTCACCCAAAAAATAAAATAAAATCCTCAGCCCATAACTGCTATCATCATCCTAACAATAGTAATAATAAATTGTACCGACACTGCCCGTTTAAAGACAGTTTCTCTACTCTGCCAGCCACTTCAGAACCTAAAAAACTCACTTGTTGTTATTATTCTATTCAATCTAAACATTGGATTTCATTTTTAATTTTACTGTCAAATGACAATTTACCAGCAGAATGGCTGCACTCACCTCGTCATATGGGTTGGAGCTGACTACTCCACAGAAGCGCCAAACCTCTGCCCAGAACTCTGAGTAGTTGTCTACCGACCACTGGTACAGGTCGTTGTAGTTGGCTAGAGGAAGGACAATCAGTGATTACTACAGATTTATAACAAAAATATTCACGTACTGGTGTGACTATCAGTTCAGACACAGAATGTAAAGTTGATAAAGCTGGTTAAACGCAATAAGATATTTGTAAAAGTACCACTAAACCAAAACAAGTCTAATTGATGAGAAAACTCCTACAAAACTCTCTCCTTTAGTTGTGCAAACCTGAGATTACTCAACGATTAACACCAAAAGTGAACCTCAGTTAAATTCAGTCAGCGGTGCCGTTTAACACTATCTGTATTTGCATCTACATTGTAAGCTAACTCTCTTACTGAGGGGGATTCACAAAGACTTGGCCTCTCCATGGCGATCCAGTAACCAGCAGAAAGGAAAGTGCAGGTCGGGTGACCCAGTAAATGCTGGCAGATCTCCAAGTTTAATTTAAAGCAATGGTTCCCAATCATTTTGGCTTATGACCCTTTATAGCTAAGTAATGCTGGCTACAGATCACTAATCAGCTTGCATGTGTTTGTTAGCTCTAAGCAGATCAGCCAAAGACTGTGATCCCTTATTATGTTGGTTCATTGTAGTCTTTTTTAGGGACAAAGGTGCATTTGTCATTTAAAGAAATGCTTCAAAAAATAAACATGATTTTATGAGGAAGCATTATGTTTTATCTTCTTCTTTCCTAATCACCTTGTGGCCCACCCCCGAGATTTTTCTTGCAACCTCTAGGTCCACTGATGTAAAGGAAAGGTTGTCCTCTTTGATATCTTACCTAGCCGATCTGCAGTGTTACACCACATTTATGCAATTTTTATTTCACACACACATCTCTCATAGCTATCTACCTCCCACTTACCCCCCTCTCTCTATTCATTCAGTTACCCGGTCGGCCAAGTTTTTCAGCATTTCTCAAACACCCTGTGTGCTCTTTCCTCGCCTGCAGCTCTGCAAGGTTCGTTAGGAGCTGGACGTGATCCAAACATGAGAGCAAAGCAGAGCTGCAGTGTTATAAACTGCTAATTCTGATGATTTTTATTTTTTAAAGGGCGTGGAGAGCAAGTTAGAGGCCATTTTTATTTCAATTCTTACTAGTCTATACTTGCAGAGATGTGATGTGTGAGCTGTCTCTTTTGTGTTGCCCCGTTTTAATTGCCAAATGGCTCCACGCCAAAGCTAGCTTGAAACACTGCATTGCAAAGCAGTGGTAATTTAGAGCTAATAATACGCTGTCTGTAAGGTAAGTACACAACATATAACGTTAAATGGACAGATATCATCGAAAACACCCCGCCCACCTATGTCTGTCTCCCTCCCCCCTCTCTACTCACCCAGATTAAGTCCGTAGTCTCCGTTGACCTGTATCCTAAACTTGTCCATCTGTGTGTTCCTCTTAGAGTCCGGGTACCACAACACCTTGCTCTCCATATCCATAATTTCCTCGCTCTTCCCTTCCGTGTCTTTAGACATCTTCGTCGCGTCCCTTTTGTCGGCTGCCAAACACCGGTTAGTGCGTGTCGCGAGCGCCTTGCTGAAGCTAACTGTCCCTTAAGGTGAGGGCTGGTGTTAAATTAGATGAATGGCTAGCTACTTAGTTTGAATGGCTCGGGTATTACAGTGCGCGACACCTACCGAGGCTCACTGTCACAGGCAAGCGTGGGGCAGCCAGGGAAAGCCAACAGACCACGCCCCGGCGTCGTGACGTAGCAGAGCGAGCTGGATTCAAGAACGCACAGTGTTTAATACTGTTACACAAAGGGATATGATCTACACCAGTGGTTCTCCAGGGGGTCCCCTGTAAAAAGGGGAATAATTTATTTTCGTAAGGCTATATTTCCATCCATAAGTAGCACAATGACAGAATGTGTGACTGTTTTGTTTGTGGGTTTCATACACATTCTGTAATAAAACATCTAAAAGCAAAAATCCTATCAGATGGACGATCCTGAGACAAAATCTTATCAAATGTGGGTCCATGGTCTATTTTGTGTCAGTTTAGGGGTCCACTGACCACTGATCCACATAATAGCTCCCTAACTGAGAACAAATGTATTTAACGGGACCCCAAGAGGATGCCAAGCATATTAATGATTACAGTTATATCTATGGTCTAGCTATGATAGTCTCTAAGAAACTGTCTCTCAGTCTTCAGCATAGACCTAAGCACTATGTTAATTGTGTAGCCTACATCACTCTCTCTCTCTTTTTTAATTCACTTTAGTTTTTATTGAGGGTTTCAAAATGTATAAAAATATAAAACCAGCAGATGAACATGGAAACAGAAAAACAAAATATTACAAAACAAAACGGTTCAACCCCTAATCTTAATCTTGTAAATTAGATTACATGAATGTTATAGGTCATCAAATGAGTTTGAATGAATGAGGCCATTGATGTGAAAAAGCTTGCACCCTGGCAAAACACTATCATAATTTGATGAGTTACATATTTTCACATTTCCTCTTTCTCATTCCTAAAAGATGTATAAAAAATAAAAAGTAAAAAAAATGAATTACAGACAGTCCTACAAAAGTGTTACTAGAATGACAGTAATATACAGTGATATCCAGACCCTTCATATGAAAAACCTTGCATCCCACCAAAATATTATCAGAACTTTATATATATATAAATATTTATATATAAAGTTAATATATAATATAAAGTGTATATATATGTATGTATGTATATATATTTCCAAAATAAAATATGAGAAAGCCATAGAAAAAGTCTTACTAGAATGGATTACGGCCATTTACTCAGGAACTTGGATTTTATTTTGTATATTTAATTGTTAGTTTCTAACTGTGCTCTTCTTCTTCTGTCTCCTTACAATTCTCTTATACTGATTGCATTATTCATTAACTCTTACTTCTCCCTCTAGGTATTTATCCCATTGATGGTATGTGCACTAATAGCTCTTTTAGTATTTATTGCTGCTCTTACTAGTATCTATTGTCACTTGCAGATCTCTTACTTTACTGATGTTAGTTTATGTTAGCGTTACTGTTGTAATAGATATTATAGGTAAGTACGCAAGTTATTCCAAGACCTCTTCATGTCTGATTTTGAAATAGGCCTATGCCTCTTGAATGGATGCAAAAGCAGAGACAGCCCTAGGTTATACTGTGAAATGTGTAGTTTGTTATTAAACTGTACATTACGGATGTTTAATATATCAGATTATCCACTTAGATGAATATTTGCATTTACTGTTTTGAAAAATAAGTACATTTCGTGGATTATTTAAACCATGCACAAAGACTGTTGCTGTCCTGAACACCTCCCACGCGTGAACGCGCAACAGATTTGTACAGTCGAGTCTCTCGTACACGCAGGAAACTTGCCTGTCAAAATGAAGGATTTTGATTGGTCCTCGGCACACTGGTTCCACATCAGCCGACAGATCGGTCTATGTGGGAGGCGTATCGTCAGTGTTGGAATGGCATGTGGTATGATCAATGGCTGGCTCGCTTTTGGCGCTGCAAATGAGGCATATTAGCCATTCAGAGAGCGAGAACGTAGGAGCGTTTTAGGGGTGTGCCCAATCAGTGAGAGTAAAAGAACGACCCTCCTCAATGTCTGATGGTGTCATCTTGGTTTTGATTCAATGATGGGAAATGTATTTTCTAGTTTAGCCATGTTCTGTCTAGTCTGCGTTGCAATACTGTATGCTCATAATTTGCCTACCAAATTAATGGAAATCTCATAATGATGACCCATGACTGCCATTTATTCATCTCTGGAAACTTTTTAACATAACCCAATGCTCTTGCAATTTGTGAAAATTGTGCCCTTGTGCCCTTCCTTGTTCACATTAATCAAGCAAATGTAAACATTAAACATGAACCTAAAAGCCACCCACGCATGTGTGGAACACAGACAAACTTAAAGAGAAGGGAGACAAAATATATCATTCCTCTTCTCAAATAAACTGCACTGAATGAGCATGGTTTGTGGCCAAATTTCTTGTCTTTTTAAGTTTTTGTATTACTGTGTGCGCTGGCAGAGCAGGGACTATAAAGAAAGAGGTAGACTGACTTAACCAAAATGTTGCAACCCCTCTGATAATATTTTGTAATGTCCTTAAAATCTGCCTAGGACCCAGAGTCCAGATTGCAAAAATGGTCCTTGGATATGAAACCTGATCTATTATACCCTGAAATCCAAGCAAACATGGGGTTCCAATGAGGAACATTGAGTAACCACAGTTTGTCTTCTTTTGATTTGCCGGGTTGCTAAATGGAATACCACTCTCTTAACGGCACATGTTTTGACCATGCCTTTATCAAAGGAGCTGTGGTAAGACCATGATGAACGCATTAGCCAGAACATGGAAAGGATTTAGGATATGGTGATATAAATATTTGGGAGCATGTGTGATTATTTCCATGATTTTGTAGCTATGTACAGCTCAACCGAATTGGTTTCGAAAGGTTCAAATGATGTTGTTATGTAATGATGAAGTTTTGATCATACATGGTCATACATATTAATAATTTTTTATCTATTGCAGATAAATAATTCACAATACTCTAAAGGGCGTGGCTACTGGAAATTCAACTTGTCACTCTTGCATGATGAAGCGTTTATTAATACAACCAAAAAATTTATTAAAGAATTTTTTGAAAATAATGAAAATTCTTCAGATCCACACAATATTTGGGAAGCCTTTAAATGCTCCTTCAGAGGCCATACAAATAAAATGAGCTCATACAAACGAAAAATCAATTTAAAAAAAGAAAAGGAAATTATAGATGAAATAAATGAATTACATATAGTTATAGACAAAAAATATACAGTGGAAAATGAGCTTCGGATTAAAAGAAAACAAGATGAATTGGAGAGCCTCTATCGTGAACGTGTGAATGGAATTATTGTTAACTCACATGCGAATTGGATGAATAATGGGGAAAAATGTACAGCTCTATTTTTAAAACTGAATCAAAGAAATTTTGCAAAAAAAAATATTATAAGTTTATATAAAAATAATGTTTTGGTAACAAACCCACAAGAAATATTACAGGAAGAAATAGAATACTTTGAATCACTATACTCTAAAGAGGAAGAATTACAGCATCCAAGCAATGTGATTGAACATGTGATTGAACAGTTCTTCCCTTCAGATAACGTTCCTAAGCTCTCCGCTACCCATCAGTTAAGCTGTGAGAGGGAAATAACAGAGCAGGAGTTATTAGAGGCTATTAACTCATTTGCATTGGGCTATTAACTCATTTGCATTGGTAGTGATGGTATTCCAATTGAAATTTATAAGACTTTTTTTTAGAAGTAAAGAAACCTCTGTTGACCTCATTTAATTATTCATTTCAGAAAGGAATATTATCTAATTCCCAAAGAGAAGGAGTTATATCATTACTCTTGAAACAAAACCCAGATGGTAAATTTAAAGATCCTAGGCATTTAAGAAATTGGAGGCCTTTGACCTTGCTCTGTTGTGACACTAGAATTCTTTCCAAATGCATTGCATTAAGAATGAAAAAAGGAATTGATGGTATTATAGGGAATGAGCAAGTAGGGTTTATAAAAGGAAGATTTATTGGTGACAATTTGAGACAGATACTTGACACTGTAGATTTCTATAAAAATACTCAACAACCAGGATTACTATTTATAGCGGATTTTGAAAAGGCTTTTGATAAAGTTAGACGGGAGTTTATTAAGAAATGTCTTTGTTATTTTAATTTTGGAGAGAATTTTATCAAATGGTTTGAGACGCTCTATAAACATACCAGCAGTAGAGTTATAAATAATGGGTATTTATCTACTGGATTTCCCCTAACACAAGGGGTTCGTCAGGGGTGTCCATTGTCACCATATTTGTTCCTGATATGTATTGAAATATTAGCAATAAAAATTAGAAAGAATACAGATATCATAGGTTTGAAGCCAAATGGTATAGAGACAAAACTTACAATGTATGCTGATGATGCAACCTTTTTTATTAACAATCTACTTTGGAATCCTTGATTACAGATCTAAATATGTTTTCAAAAATATCAGGTTTGAAACCAAATTTTGAGAAGTGCCATATATTGAGAATAGGGACTTTAAATGGTACAGATTTCAATTTAAATTGTTCTGCTCCTATTAGATGGACAAATGGCTCTGTAGATATTTTAGGTATTCACATACCAGACAATTTCCAAAATATTGTCAAATACAATTACGATAAAAAAATGCAAAAAGTAGATAGATTTTTACAGCCATGGAGGAGCAGCTCACTTACATTACAAGGAAGGGTCACACTGATTAACTCATTGGTAATCCCCCAATTTGTTTATTTAATAATGACCCTTCCAACTCCTGACAATTCCTTTTTTAAATGCTTTGAACAAAGCATTTTTAAATTTTTATTGAATAGTAAACCAGATAAAATTAAGAGACAATATTTATACAATTCATATGAAAATGGTGGATTAAATCTAAAAAATCTCCAAGCAATGAATAGT